ATTAAAAACCCAGATTGAGGAAGACAGAATGATCTATACGATTAGGCAGGAAGAGGCTAAGCAAGTTATTTAAGTGAGGTGTCTTCCCAAAGCTACTGCTTACAGAGACAGGAGACGTATCTGTAATATTGTTAAGCAAGCAAAGCAGGAAGGGGAATTGGATGTACTTGTCCATCTAGGGACAAATGACTTGGCTTGCAATGAGGTTTCAGAGGTTAAGGAAATTTTTAGTGTTTTTGCCAATGATATACGGCAGGTTGCTTCCACACTGTCATTCTCTGAAGTTCTGCCTGTGCATAACACTCAGAACAACAGGCAGATGCGTATTAGGGACTTTAATTTGTGGCTTGGTGAATGGTGTCGGGAGCAAGGATTTGGCTTTATTTCTCATGGTAGCTCTGTTTGTAATGGAGATAAGCTGTACAAAAAAGATGATTTGCATCTTTCTCAAAAGGGAACAAATGTTCTCAGTGAGCAGTTCAGAGGTTTTGCTAGGATGTATTTAAACTAGGAGGGGAGGGAAAAAGGGTGATAAAACATCAATCCAATCGTCCCCCAAAACAAGGACAGAAGGTGCCTGTAGCAAGTGTGTTAAAAAATGATGAGCTTAGAGTCATGTCTACAAATGCTCGCAGTTTAGGGAATAAGATCCATGAACTTGTGGCAATAATGGCAACTGATAGTGTAGATTTAGTCGCTGTTACTGAGACATGGTATCATGAGAAAAATGACTGGGACATAGCAATACCAGGGTACTCTTTATATAGGAAAGATAGGGAAGGCAAGAAAGGGGGAGGGGTGGCCTTGTCTGTGAAGGATAGCATAAAATCTAGCCTTATAAAAGTTAGTGAGGCAAATATAGAGTCCGTTTGGGTTACGTTAGAATTTGGTAATCACACAGTAACTCGTGTAGGTGTGATTTATAGGCCCCTAGGACAAATTGAAGAGTTAGATAATCTACTAGTTGAGGAAATAGCTAAAATGACAATGAAGGGGGAAGCTATCATCATGGGTGACTTTAATCTTCCTGATGTAAATTGGAAAACAAAATTAGCTACTTGTGCCAGGAGCACACATATTCTAAACTCCCTACTGGGATTGTCTCTAAAACAAGTTGTTGAGGAGCCAACTCGTAAAGAGGCCATACTAGATTTAGTGTTAACAAATGGAGATTTGGTATCAGATATTACTGTAGGTAAAGTTTAGGATCCAGTGATCATCAGTCAGTGTGGTTTAATATAAGAACAGTGACTGAGTCACACCACACAAAAACAAAAGTTTTAGACTTTAGAAAAACAGACTTTTCTAAAATTAGAATATGGGTAGAGGAGTCATTATCAGACTGGAGCAATTTAAATGGAGTCCAAGAGAAATGGGATTATTTAAAAGTTGCACTATTGAAGGCAACAGAAAATTGCATTAGGCTTGTCAGTAAAAGCAAAAAATTCAAGAAACCACTGTGGTACTCCACAGATGTGGCCAAAATAGTTAAAAACAAAAAGTTAGCATTTAGGAATTATAAAAAAACCCAGAGTGAGGAAGACAAAATGATCTATAAGATTAGGCAGAAAGAGGCTAAGCAAGTTATAAGAGCTTCCAAATCACACACAGAAGAGAAAATAGCACAGTCAGTAAAAAAGGGGGATAAAACATTTTTTAGATACATAAATGAGAAAAGAAAAGTAAAACAAGGATTAGTTAGATTAAAAACAAAAGAAGGAAGATATGTAGAAGAGGATAAAGGTCTAGCTGACTGCCTCAATGAATATTTTTGTTCTGTATTTACAGATGAAAATGAAGGAAAGGGACCTCAGTTGAGAAAAAGGATAAATGAGTCATTTATTACACGTGAGTTTACAGAGGAAGAGGTTCTATTTCAACTGTCAAAAGTAAAGACAAATAAGTCAATGGGACCTGATGGAATACACCCAAAGCTATTAAAAGAGCTTAGTGGTGTACTAGCAAAACCATTAACAGATTTATTTAACCAATCATTGTTAACAGGAGTAGTCCCAGAAGATTGGAAGTTAGCGAATGTTGTGCCCATTTACAAGAAAGGTAATAGGGAGGAGTCGGGCAACTATAGGCCAGTAAGCCTTACTTCAGTAGTGGGGAAAGTGATGGAAACCATGTTTGATTTTTGATTACACTAACTGCTTAATTTTCCAGGATATATTCTCGGCAATAAGAAGCACCATGGCTATTTAGCTATTGTACCCCTAGACCACTATTATAGCCTGTTTTGTTTAGGCTGTTACCTAACCTTTACGTTATAGTCTATCGTGCTACTCACTTAATTTCTGTACTACCCCTCTATTTTAACGGGGGATATATTCATTTATGTATTAGTATCTATCTTCACAATAGGGTATTTCAATAGCGGCTTGATTTCTCGGTGCAATACCCAAGGACCACTATTATACTAATATTTTATTGCCACATATACCCATTTGTCTAATATTAGTCCAGTATATTCACTCTTAGTCCTCAAGATCATTTATATCAACTGTCTATATTGTTTGCAATAATTTGCAACGTAGTTTTTAGATACAGTTATTCACTTTGATTATTATTTTGGATTAGTTACTATGAGAAACCTTATGGTCCTATTTTATTGTGCTTGTTTGCTAGTTTATTTTTTCGTGTTGTTCCTTATGAGGGACTAAAAAAGAGTATTTTGTTCTAGCTCTCTGCTTTCTATTTAGGCACTGTTCATACATTTGCAGAGCAGCTTTCCAATAAAGGATACAAGGTCTAATAGGGAGGCAGATCTTCTCAATCTGCTACCCGCTAGTCCATCTTTTTTCTTCTTATGTTGTTTTGGGGTTATGCCCCGCTGTATCCTATAACCATTACAACTTTGGTGGATGGACTTGTTCCATGTATAGCCAGTGTTGTATTTTTCTTGACCTGTACTACTATTACACAGTATTGTGAATTCCCTGTTTATGGAATGGCAAAGGACTTTTTTTGGCTATATAAAAGACAGTGAGTGCAGCCATATTTTTATACACTTTATGTATTGGATGCCAACGACTAGCACCCTGTGAACTAAATAGTGTTTTCAGTAGGAGTGCAAGTACTTTTACAATTTCATATATGTAAATTAACCATTTTTTAATATATATATATATATATATATATATATATAGTTTTAGTTTTTTTAGGTAGAAACTATATTGACATGTACCTTTAATTGAATCCTGAAATGTCAGAATCCATAGGAAGCATGTAAACCTTCTATTATGTATCATATGATGTAATGAGTCACAAACAAGGCTGAACATTTTGCCCAATATGTGGGAAACATTACATCATATTCAGGCTTAAGTATGAATTTTCAGAAATGAATTATAAAAAAGACAAGATCCTCAATAATATTGATTGCCATATTAGGAAAGATTAGGCAACATTCCAGAAAAGAAGACAATTAATTGCAGTTTCAGTATATAATGCTTGCACACATATTTACTTTTTTGAGTAGCAAAACCAGTGGAAAAACACATGCAATTAATAGAAATTTGATAAGATTTGATTTGCCCTAAAAATCATACAGGATAGTCCAACAACATAAACCTTCAATGGATGAAACAGAACAGAAATGTAACTAATCTAATGTTGTCTTCATATAAAATGTTACATGTTTACCCATGATGACATTGACTATACACTACAAACTGCATTAAGCTTCATACTTGACCAGTGGCGTCTCTAGAATTCATTTACGGGGGGGCACATGGAGGGCCAGGGACAAAAGAAGGGGGGCACATTTAACCCTGCCCTCGCCTCAGATTGACCTCACCCCTGTTGCATGTTAAGCCCCGCCCCCGACACAATGTGTTTTGTTTTTTTAATAATCCCTGGTGGAGGATTCATTATTTTACACAAGGGATTATTAAAAACAAACAAACACATTACCCTTGATACAGTGCCATAGTTGCCAACATTTGAAAAAAATTTCCAAGGACATTTTGCAGCACAGCTATCAATTACTGTCTGGGGATAATATCCCTGGACAGTCAGTGCTCTCTGTATAATACAGGGTTGTGTGTATAATAAATTGGGACACTCCGTGCTCCCTGTATAGTGCTGCTCTCTGTATAATACAGGTCTGTTTGTGTATAATATCCCAAGACAGAGAGCAGCACTATACAGGGAGCACTGACTGTCCCGGGATTTTATACAGGCACAGGCCTGCATTATACAGAGAGCAGCACTATACAGAAAGCACTGACTATCCCGGGATATTATATACACACAGATCTATATTATACAGATAGCTGAGCATATCCCAATCTCTAGACTACTAATACCTGTCAACAGCAGCTTCCAGACGCGTGTAACAGAGCTAAAGTGTGCGGCAGCTCACACAGATGATTCAGCTGTAAAGTGCACTCGCTGGCAGAGCCAAACTGGGAATCCCTGGGAATCCAAAGCAGCCCTGGAAAAAAAATGTATGCCATTCCCACAAGTCAATATATATATATATATATATATATATATATATATATATATATATATATATTACAGTAAGCACACAAGCTCACTGACATGCGCAAATAGGCTTACTGACAGACAAAACTCTCTGACTCACACACAAGCTTACTACAGACAAACTCACTTGTATAAACAGAAGGCTCACTACAAAGAAGTTCAGGGACACACACAAGCTCACTAAAGACAAGCTCACTGACACACATGCTAACGAAATAGAAGCTCACTGACACACAAGCAGTAACATTTTAACAGAGTTAAGAGCCCCTGGGCAAAGCAATGCACTGGGGCCCTTCCTACACAACAACTCACAGGAATTTTAATTATTGATATACTGCAGAGTCCACACACACACACACAGACTGCTGAGTCCACACACACACACACAGACTGCTGAGTCCATACACACACACACACAGACTGCTGAGTCCATGCACACACAAACAGACTGCTGAGTCCATACACACACACATACACACACACAGACTGCTATGTCCATACACACACACACACACAGACTGCTGAGTCCATGCACACACACACACAGACTGCCGAGTCCATACACACTCACAGACTGCTGAGTAAATACACACACACACACACACAGACAGACTGCTGAGTCCATACACATGCACACAGACTGCTAAGTCCGTACACACACACACAGACTGCTGAGCAGTGGCGGATCCAGAGCCTGATCTCGGGAGGTGCACTTGTAGATTATTTAAAGAAATAATCCAGACACAATAACCACTACAGCTCAGTGTAGTGGTTATGGTGTCAATAGTGCCGGGACCCCCTCCCAGAGTAAGTAGTCAAACCGTTTAAGAACAGTTTGACAGCTTACCTGAGGTCTGCTGGGAAATGGGGCTGTTGTAGGGCATAGGAGCAGTAGTGTGTGTGAGTGGTGCAATGTGTAAGGGGTTCAGTGTGTGTGTGTGTGTGTGTGTGTGTGTGAGGGGGACAGTGTGTGAGTAGTGTGTGTGTTTGAAGGTTGTAGTGTGTGAGTGAGGGCAGCAGTGTATGTCAGGGATGCAGTGTATGTGTGGGACAGTATGTGTGTGTAACAGCTGCAGTGTGTGTGTGAGTATTGCAGTGTATGTGTGAGTGTGGGCAATGTGTGTGTATGGGGCGGCAGTGTATGGGGCAGTGTGTGTGTGTATGGGGATAGTGTATGGGGGGCAGTATGTGTGTATGGGGGGCAGTATGTGTGTATGGGGGGCAGTATGGGAGCAGTATGTGTGTGTGGGGCAGTGTGTGTGTATGGGGGGCAGTGTGTGTGTATGGGGGCAGTGTATGTGTGTGTATGGGGGCAGTATGTGTATGGGGAGCAGTGTGTGTGTGATGTGGGCAATGTGTGTGTATGGGGCGGTGTGTGTGTATGTGGTGTGTGTATGGCAGTATGTGTGTATGGGGCAGTGTGTGTGTGTGTGTGTGTATGTGCGTGGGAGCAGTGTGTGTGTGTGTTGTAGTGTGTGTGATGTATGTGTGTATGCAGTGTATGGGGGGCAATGTGTGTGTATGTGCAGTGTGTGTGGTTGTATGGGGCAATGTGTGTGTATGGGGGCACTGTGTGTGTATGGGGCAGTATGGGGGGCAGTGTGTGTGTGTGTATGGGGGCAGTGTGTGTGGCAGTGTGTGTGTATGGGGGGCGGTATGGGGCAGAGTGTGTGTATGGGGGGCAATGTGTGTGTATGGGGGGGCAGTGTGTGGGGCAATGTGTGTGTATGGGGAGCAGTATGGGGGGCAATGTGTGTGTATGGGGGGCAGTGTGTGTGTGTAGAGTGTGTGAGTCCATACTGTCACATCCTGCTCCTCGCTGCGGATCATTCTGGCAATGGCTTCTGGTATCCAGTACTCTTTTTGCTGTCCTTGCTTGGTTTTCTGTTTTTCTGGTCTTTTTCTGGGTTTTCTTTATTGCTGGGTTTCTGAGTTCATTCTTATATTCTGTCCCTGGATTTTCCAGTCTCTTGGATTCACTTAAATGTTTGTTTTATGTTGCCACACCCGTTTGTTTTCCACTTTCCTTTTGTTTCAGCTTGGACCTGCAGCAGTGTTTCATGTCTCTGCCCTTTCTTGCAGGTAAGTGCTATTGTGGTATAGTGTGGATGTTTTAGCATACATTAGGCAGTGTAGGACCTGCCAGATATGGGGTACATTGGCGCTGTTGGCAGGCTTGTGCAATGTATGATCATATAATGTGACTAAATCCCCATACTTTTCATAATTAGTGCTTAGCTATGTTTCCTCTTGTTTTACCTTTTATCTCTTGTCCTGTTTTATTTTGTCTTGTAATCCCAGTCCATGTACAGTCCTGTCCAGTCATGCCCATGTTATGTTCTTGTTTTCCTCATGTCTTGTGTACATGTTCTAGGTTTTGATTTCTGTCCTGCTCCTGTTCTGGGTTCTCCTAGTTTTGTCTTGTTTTCATGTATGGTGCCTTGCTCTCTTAGTTTTGCCTTGCTTCAGTACTGGATACTGCTGCAGAGCCTCCCTATTCAGCTCCTGGGAGGTCTGCTTAATTACCTGCTCCTAGTTCCTGGGATCCGCATAAGCTGATTAAGGGTTCTGGTTGTGGCTGCACAACCTTAGGTGCTCAACACCAGGGGGTGTGCAGTTACCCTGCACCAGACCCTGCTAATACTGTGACTCCCTACTCTGAACATCAGGCATATTTGGGTCCTGGTCCATGCACCGCCGCCCGGACAGTGTCTGGGTCCTGGGCACCGGACCGCCACCCTGACACACACACACACACATACACACATACACACACACATTAAGCCTACCTGTCACTGGAGGCTGTTGCTGGGGGTCAGGCAGCCATCTTCTGCAGCAGCATGGTCTGCTGCTTTACGACAGGGGCGGAGCTTGTGTGTGGGAGGCGGGGCTTTGTTTGGGGGTGGGGCCTTGCCAGGGAGCCTGTCAGTGCTCCCTTCGGCCACAGACAGCCCCCTGCACTGCATTCCTTCGGGCTGTCACAGATTGTTACAGTCCGAGGGAATATAATTGAAACACATGGCCAGCAAGTTGCCGGCATTTGGGGGGACCGAAGGGGGGGCACAGAATAATGTAGGGGGGGGGCATGGTCCCCTCTGCCCCCCCCTAGCAACGCCACTGTACTTGACACCCATTTCCCACATAATGGGAACAGCAGTTATAGTAGCTTAGACTCTATAGTAGGTAGTGTGCACTGAAGCGCTAAAGTTCACTTGTTCTAAATGACAAGTTAGCTGCTTTGCTTACATTGTTCATTAAATACTGAGTTTTACGCATTTTATATCATCAATCCATTTTTAGCCTTAATTTATCATTTATGAAGTGGCCACATGCTGACCGATAAACTGTATACAGTGCTTAAGGTGAGCACTGCATGTTTAGCTTTTTAAATTGGCTGGAACTTGCTGGAACCATTGTTAAATCCTTGATCACACCAGGGAGAGTCAGGTAACAATCAATATCTGTCAGCTAGTGCAAAATGTAGTGGCCCCAGACTGACAGATGAGCTGTATGCAGTGCATACAGCCCCGGTCACGGTGATGTAATTTCTGACATCACAAGGAATGCTCACCAATAGGGGGACATCCAAAGGGTCTATGGAGAGATGATCACCACCTGAAGAGGGTGATCAGTGCTTGGCTATGCAGGCTGCACAGTGCGTGATTACAGCTACATGGGGTTTAAATCATATTTTGATAGTTTGTCACATAATGTTTTTGAAAGTTGAGAGGGAAATAATTGGTGCTGCGATTGAACAGTGCAGAGCTCTCAAGGATGTTAGCAAGGAAAACTCTCTGTGATCTCAGCAAGAGATCCCCTTTGCTTAAATTCGCAATGGATTCTATCTACTGACATCAAATCACCTTCCTGACCTGAATCCTAATTGCTATTATTATAATTTAAACATTAGGATTAGATTTAGGATTCAAGTTAGAGTTAGGATAATGGTTAGGTTTAGGATTAGAGTAAGGTTTAGGATTAGGATTATCATTAGGCATAAGGAATATAATTAGGACTCGGACCAGCAAGATAATCCATATGCTGAAATCAGCAAGGAATTCTACTGTTGACATAAGGGCAAGGATTTAATGACTTGCAAATGTAAACAAGGGAAGTGTTGTTGAACTAATCAGATATTTCTGAGTACCATAGCTAACAAATATATCTCAAACAATATACAAAAAATTAAATAATAAGCAATAATACTTAGCTTATAAAGACGTGTAACAGCCTCCCTAGGTCGCTACCCAAAAAAGCGACCTATATCATATATGGTAAACCAAAACAGAGAAGATTCGGGATATGGCTGTGTAAATCTACAGAAAAAACATAAAACAAAACATAGTGTAATATTGTTATAAAACACAGTATTCTGTGCGCAGCAATCTTTTTCACTCACAAGATATAGACGGTATAAGCGCTCTTAGGGTGCCTCCCCCGATGTAATGGGGGGCTAGCTGGTACTTCTTATCACCTCTGGATCCTTATTCCACCAAAAGACATCCACGGGTCAGGGTTTAATAATAAAAAATGTATTCATTAAAAAGTGGTCACCAATTCATCATAGGATATGGATTACAGAAAAATAGTCCTACGCGTTACGTTCTATATGAACTTCCTCAGGGACCACAATTAAAACAATAACAATGTATTAATACACAGTACAAAGATAAACATATCCTTAAAAATCCCCTCTCCCTGTGTCCTTAAATAGGGCTAATTCCTAGAGTCCTTTGGTGGATCCAGTGGGTGTGTAAATCCTCTTTATTCTTGATTGGAGGGATAATTTTCCTGTATCAGCTGTCTTTCGTTTTCCAATTTCTATGGCTTGTAATTTGCGCCCTTTTTGGCAGATACAGGAAGTGATTTTTTTAAATTATTATTTTGTTGCCGAAACCGGAATTGACGTCGCGGGAACGTCCACGGGGTTTTTTTGTTTTGTTTTTTTTTAATGTATTTTTTTTTTGTTAAACTTTATAAAAACTTAGTAGAAATAAACACAATATTTACTCCATTGTATATCACCACATGCGTTCTATCAATAGCATCTCTATGACAACCGGACATAATCGGCTTATTCAGAGATCGTATGAATCAAGAAGAACTAATTGAAGCCCCACATTCTACTAAAGAAGAAAGTGTTAATCATACATAAGATTTAAACACCTTCATTAATTATATATATATATATATATATATATATATATACAAAATGTTATCCTCATTTATCACTAATAAAATCACATAATTAGTATTAATCCCTATATATAAACAAGTGATTATAATGCCTCAAAGTATTATCAAAAAAATAGCCAAAAAAGCTTCATAATATAAGGTGATCATATGTGATAGTGGTCATATAAAGTGACCATGTATTTATTTATTTTATTTTATTTTTGTTAAACTTTATAAAGACTTAGTAGAAATAAACACAATATTTACTCCATTGTATATCACCATGTATAAACTATGACAAACTAAAAAATTATTTACAATCACTATTCAGTGTATCTACCACATTCTATTTGTCCTCTTCATATAAATCTTTAGAACAAACCTATTTAACACCTTAAAGTAGTCCATTATTATGGTTAAAAAAGAAATAGTGAATTATTGCTCAAAAGATGATGTGCAGTAAATAACTACTTCTCATACAATATCTGTTTAGTGTATCTATCAAATTTTTAATTGTGTGTTCCCTATACACCCTTGGAACAAACCCATTAATTATATTAGAGCAACTTATTATAATTTGATCATACAAAGAAATGAATCATAACATATAAAGTAAAGGTGCTTTAATCTCTCTCTCTCTCTCTCTCTCTCTCTCTCTTTATTTATATATATATATATAGAGAGAGAGATATCTCCTCTTTCCAAATGGGGATTGATCCTCAACTGTAGAAAAAGCCCCACAATGGAGGCAAACACACATACCTATTATCAATTCTAAATCTTGTTTAGGCCATATTAATCTAAAAAACAGATTAAATCAATATCTATATTCAGACCCTTAGGTGTAAGAGTCTGTAATTTATGTATCCAGAATGTCTCCCTTTGGGCTAATCTTTGAACTCTGTCACCCTCACGCCAAAAAGGGGGAACTCGTTCGATTCCCCAACACCTGAAATTCTTGAATGAAAAAAAGGGGCATGATATACAATGTAAATAACTAGAGGTCTGGTTGGAGTTTCCACCTTCCAGATCTCTAATTTGAGTGCAGCGCTATAGATGTATAATATGTGTCACTTACCCCTCTTAGTATACTTATTGGGGGGTGTACATAGAAATAGAGAAAAAATACAAAATAATTGTGCAGTATTCTATACAAATACAAGTAAAATTTTATGAAGTAGGTGAGTTAGATCTACTCACATTATTTAGAGCCTTTTAAGATTTTAGGCTCTAAACTTGTAAGCTTCTGTGTCTTTTTAAGGTAGACAGCTTTACCCCTTTAATTCTTCAGGATTCTTGCTCCCCTCCACTCCACAGTAAGCATATACAAGAAAGTAGAAGAGAGACTCTAGGTGTAGTATTTTTTGGAACTTCTCTTTAAATTAGTATTAAAGAAGGAGAAAATTAATGCTCACCTCTTTAAGAGCCTTTTGATTACTGGCTCAGAGTTTGCAGGCTTAGTGTCAAATTGAGGTGACACCCCCCCTTTACCGGATAAAGTGCAGGATGCAGTAGTGTATATTGCTAATATTTATTGCTATAAATAAAGTGCAAATTTTAAAACACAATTGACTAGAAAATAAAAAAAGATATGTATTTCAAATGCTTATAAATAGCTGCAGATCAAAAAGTCCCAGTCTGTGTCTGCTCCGCCAAGACGCGTTTCTCTCCGATCAGCTTCCTCAGTTGGCTGTAGTACTGCTTTGCTCACTCCGGTTTTGTCTCGTCAAAAAAGCCCGCCTAATTTTCGATTAACCAATCAGTGAAGGTTCTCTCCGATCATCACTTCCGTTTCCGGTATAGTCGGCACTTCATATCCCATAGTGCTCTCTGTCTCTTATATCATTTCCGGTTTCTTTCATCGATGTTAGCACCCTCGGGACTTCAAATCCCTTAATACTTTTCTGTTATATTTATGGGATTTCCGGCTTATTTTATCGGGCAGTTCGGGATATAAAAAAAAACTAATTGGTGTTAGTCATACCTATATAGTACCATACTCATTCCTCTAAACTATACAATTTTATGACAGTATATTGTCAGTCTTGAAAAAGTCAGTTTACTAATCAATATCACAGCTATGTATTCCATATATATATATTTACAAATTCTCAATAAAATACATACATATAAAATAAATATAATATAAATATGGACATAAAAATGTATTATATATAAAAAAATATCATAAATCAAAAATAGAAAAAAAAATACATAAATCTAAAAATCTGAATAAAATTAAAATAAAAAATATAAAATATATGTGTGGAAAAAAATAAAATAAAAAAAATTATAGAAAATGGCATAACTCAAAATCAGCATTTAGGCCAAAAGGGGCCAATGTATTAAGATTAAAACTACATTTTGTCTCAAGTTTCCCTAATTTCTTAATTTCATCCTCACCTCGCCAATTTAGTTCTATTTTTAGGATTGCAAAAAATTCCAGCCCTTGAGGGTTGCTCTCATGCACTTCTTTAAAATGTAACGAGACACTATGCTTATCAAATCCCCTTTTTATGTTGCGTATGTGTTTGTTTATTCTGACCTGTAGGGGTCTTTTTGTTCTTCCAACATACATGAATTTGCAGGGACATTTTAATATGTAAATAACTCGTTTCGAGAAGCATGTTAGCATATTTTTGATTTTATATTCCTTTTTGCTCTTTGGGTCTTGGAATGTCTTTAAATGTCTTTTCCCACTTTTGGAACTCCTACACGCTAAACAATACCCACATCCAAAGAAGCCTTCTTGATGCAAAAATGTATTGGGTTTTATTTCCTTCCCTTTAATATGATTATGGGTTAATTTTTGTTTTAAATTCGGTGCTCCTCTATATATTAGCT